GCTGAGGTCCCAGAGGAGGTTCTGGCTTGTCATCTGAGTCCTCCTCCAGGCAGGGCATGACAAATAGCTTTGTTCCCCTGCTTATCTAGCAACCAATTAAGGAGATCAAACAGATTTTTTTTCAGGGATGGTGATCAGTCGATAGCCCTATCTAGAATTAACAGTGAAGAATTTTATATCAGACCACCAGGTAACAAGCTAAATGTTACAAAGAGATAGGAGACCTGGACCTAGGGCCATTTTCAGCAGCAGGGCTGTGTTCCTGTGAAATTTAGCTTTGCCCCCAGGTAAAGCCAGTGATACACAGTTCCTACTTCCCTTTTCTTTACCCCCTAGCAGTGGAGGTGGGATCAGATTATTCTCTCTGCTCGGAGCTTCATTGTCTGGCATATCTAAAACTACCAGACAGAGTGGCCCAAATGTGGCTTGCACTGGAATTACTTATCACCAAGGCTTTCTTCATACAACTCATTGACCAAAGAAGCTGTGAAAATCATGGGTGGAGAGTGATTGGCTGCATACAATCTTACCAAGCAGATTTGTTTCCATAATTTAGTTTCACAGTGGGTGTCATAGAGCCACAATATAAAATGCATGAGTTCAGAGGAACTTTATTCTAGGTAAATATGGAAAAATTGAAGCATTCCTTGCATAGGTAGACTCTTGGCTATAGGTGCCAGGGTCTGATTGCATATCCTATAAATGGTAGAAAATTGTATTCTGGAGCATTCTGCAGAACTGATCTACCTCATATTTTGGAAGTATGTTGTGAAGAGTAAAGCTGGCTCCATAATGTATTCATAAACAGGTACAGCCTCTGAGAAAGATTATGGAGAGCCGTCCTCACTCTTCAGGTCTGTTGGTGACCCTGAACCAGGCTCTTTATTTTTCAGCCAAGCCTACCTTACTGAGTTGTCATGAGGATTAACCGGAGGGAGGAAATTGTGTATGGTACCATGAGCTCCTTGGGGGAAGGTTAGGAGTTTGTTTCTTTTAAAGTCTAATTAGTAAATCATAAGTAATCTTTCCTCCTATGCCTCTTTGTTTAGGATGACACAGAACCATACTTCATTGGAATATTTTGTTTCGAGGCTGGAATTAAAATTATTGCCTTAGGATTTGCTTTCCACAAAGGCTCCTACCTAAGGAATGGCTGGAATGTGATGGACTTTGTGGTGGTTCTTACAGGGTGAGTAGCAGCTTTTTAAAGTGTTATGAATTCTTGTTGTTTACTTTCATTCTGGTAGAAGCAGCACTGCCTAGTGGTCATTAGGCAGCACTAAAACCAAGAAAGAAGTCAGAATTCTTAGATGCTTTTCCCTGATGTAAAAGGAGAGGGGAATCTGGATTGCAAGGGTATGGGTAGCCTTGGTATGAGGGCTTATGCATCCTATTCTGAAGCCACAATGAAGAGAAAGGTTTGTGTGTGGTTTTGTGTGTGTGTGTTTACAATAACTGCAGTAGATGCTTCACCTGCAGTGTGAGCTATACTGTGTAATTTGCTTTACACCATACACTCCAGCAAGCTGGATGTTGATTAGAATGTTGGCTCTGCCTTTCCAATCATGCTTCCAACTAACCACCTTCAAACCAAAATACAGTCAAGGCAGCACATATATGTTTGCACAGATATGCAATCAGTTTTTGGATGGAATCATGTTGGTTCCTTCTGTTAGTTTCACTGCTGCAGTATGGGCAGTGACAGCAAGAGAAAAAAAGGCAGGGTTGTGGTCAGGAAGGAAGTTTGGCTTTGGAGAAATAGGCTGCCTGGAGCCAGCTGATTTGGTCTGCCTTCCCTCAGCACCACTGCATGCAACCCTGCAAAAAGTGGAACTGCTAGCAGGGTGCACCAGCAGGATTCTGGCTGCCTTCTCATTTTTTAATTAAATGCATTGGAGCTCTACTGAAAACAATTGGGGAGCTGTTCTTCAGGCAAGAGGAATGTGTTAGTGATATCACAAGTGTGGGCCAATGGGTGTTTCTCCTGCTTATTTTTATTTCTTTTATTATACATTTTGGACACCAATGTTTCTGATTTTCAATGGAATTTCCATGTAATCCCTTAACCATATTGAAAATTATGCAGAATGTGCTTCCCTCACCCCCTTAGAGAATCAACCAACACAGGGAAAGTTATATTTGTCCTGAATGCTGTAAGGGTGCTACTCTCTGCCCTACTGTGCTTTTAAGATGCTGCTTCATTTCTCACTCTTAGAACTGAAGATGGAAGGTTTAAGTTTTTTCTCCTCCCTAGTGCTGACGTCTTATCTATTATATGTTTAAGATACACACACACATATCAGATTGCTGTAACATTCTTGACCATCACAGTTTTGAGGATGGAGAATGAACTGGGCATTCTGGATCTGTAGGTATCAGGTACATCTTATCTCCAGTGTGTTTGCAGTTTGCAATGCCTGCTCCCTGCTGCTTCCCAACCTGCTCACAATTTCCTGTGATGAGAACAAAACTCCTTTTTTTCACCTTTTTTCCCCTGGTTATTTGATGGTGGAGAATTCATAACACCCGTCCTGGCTCCCTTTTGTTGTGTATTCTTGGACTTGAGGAGTGCATCGTAAGGACTAATCTGCACTGCAGAAATAATGAAGTTTGACACTGCTTTAAGTGCCACAGCTCAATGCTATGGAATTCTTGGATTTGAAATTTTGTGAGCTATTTTGGCTTCTCTGTCAGAGAGCTCCAGTTATACAATAAACTGCAGACCCCTGAATTCCATAGCATTGAGCTGTGGCAGTTAAAGCAGTGTCAAACTGCATTATTTCTGCAGTGCAGATGCAGCCTAAGTCAGCAGAGAGAACTCCACCAAGAATATGCTGAGCTGTTTGCAATTTAGATTCACAATGTCTTGCTGCTTCTGATCTCTTTTTGCTTCTTGGTTTTTCAGTATTGGTACCTGATGTACTTTACTCATAGAACTTAATCTGGTGGGTTTATTGCACTAGTTTGTATTTCTTCAAAACTGAAGGAGTATAAGGGTTTAAATCCCTTTCTCTCCATTTAGGTGCCAAATGTTATCTTGGAATCAAATGTGGAATTTCCTTTCTTATTAGTGGAGCCTTCTGTTTCTAGGTAGTATTGACTTTAGTCAAGGAAAGACCAGCAGGCCCAGATTTCATCTCAGCTATGAAAACACATTGAGCAAGTTACCAAATCATTACCCTACTTAATTGACAAGAATTCAGAGAAACAGTAATGTTAGTCTGACATATTGCTATGCAAAGGGATCTTGTAATGCCATTGAGACCAACTGAATGAAAGTGGTTGTAGCATAAGCTTTCATACATTTGTTGCATTTGAGAAAGTAGACCAAGTCTACAAAATGTATTCTACAACCTTTTTTGCTCTGCTAGTTTCAAAGGTGCTACAAAATCCCTTCACATATTAATTGACAAGCTTCCTGAAATGGCAATTCATTTTTTACAGTGAAAAGTGCAATAACAAAGGGAAGGGATATTACAAGTTGTATCTTTTGGGAGCTGGCAGTCAAGTGGAGCTCCTGTTACATGGAACTGTTGTCTTGGTCTGAGTGTGCTCTCTCTCCCTTCTTCATATTTCCATGAGAATTTTTTTCAATTAATACCTGCAAGCTCTTGGAAGTAAGGATTTGCATGTCAATAAATTGGGTGCAGGGGCAAGTGGTGGTAGATCCAAAGTCAGTAATGTTCCCAACTTTCAGCATGCCACTACCATTCTATTCTGCCAGAATTTTTCAGCACCTTGATCTTTGCATCTTGTTTTTTTTGGTTTTTTTTTTTTTATGGCCATTCAGATTCTCTAATTGCAGTGGCTTGATTGTTCCAGAATAAATGCATTTTAAAAAGGATATTCTGCATATTTTTTCACCTGGGCGCTGGTGACTTGGAAAGATCTGTGTTTAGACAATGGTTATAATCCAGGGACACTGGATATTCAGTTTTGGGTTTTTATTAGACTTAAGTGTACATGAGTTTCTTTATGGGTTTTACTGAAGGTTGCACTGTGTCTGTTATGTTTTTCATTGTGTACGATAAGAGAGATTGTCTACACATAATTTTTGTGGGCTAATTTCTGTGGGCCAGTTCATTCAAGACTTCTTGTCTGAGAAATGAGTAGAATGAACAATCCCCAAGTGTACACAGAGATGGAGAAATGTGACAGTGAGCATGTCAATACAATATATGGCACACTAGCAGTTTCTATGACTGTGAGGGTGGGAGAAAACACTGCAGAAATGAATGATTATCTACTCAGCATAGTTAATACTGACAGTGGGTTTGGCATTTGGATGGTTCTCATAATTGAAGAGGTCATATGTGTGAACAATGTAAAATCATGAACTCTAACTGGAGACAGTCATCATTGTTCAAAACCCTAGTGTTTGGATTCCTTAAGTTACTCAGATGCTCCTTCTTACATCAAGACCTGCAGAGGGAGTGTTAACATTCCTCTGTGTCTTGCAAGCCATTATGAGAGGGTTCTTAGTGGCTCAAGGTGTCTTTATTGCATGTCACTGTGGAATGTTCAGGCTTTGGTGGAGGGCTTCCTCAAAAGAGGTAAGAAATGGTGCTGCCCATTAGAGATAGAATCATAGAATCATAGAGTTGGAAGAGACCACAAGGGCCATCCAGTCCAACCCCTGCCATGCAGGAACTCCCAATCATAGAATCATAGAGTTGAAAGAGACCACAAGGGCCATCCAGTCCAACCCCCTGCCATGCAGGAACTCCCAATCAAAGCATCCCTGACAGATGGCCATCCAGCCTCTGCTTAAAGACCTCCAAGGAAGGAGACTCCACTACTCTCCGAGGGAGTGTGTTCCACTGTCGAACCGCCCTTACTGTCAGATGTTTGTTATGTTGTGTGCTTTCAGGTAGTTTCTGATTTATGGTGACTCTAATACAACCTTATCATGAGGTTTACTTGGCAAGAGGAGGTTTGACTTTGCTTTCCTTTCAGGTTGAGAGAGTGTGACTTGCTCTAGGTCACCTAGTGGGTTTCCATGGCACAGCAGGGATTTGGACCCTGGTCTTCAGAGTCATAGTCCAATGCTCAAACCACTGCACTGCACTGGCTCTCCATATGTGCCTGAAGCTAAAAATGAATACAGAATTTTAAATCTTGCTGTGTCTTTTGGGCAGAATGAAAAGCAGAAGGGCAAAATAGATGTTATTAGGGATGTGTGGCTCTTAGCGAAAGCAACCTGGCATCTCCCTGGTAACATCTGATGGCAGAAACCATGGGCAGCCTAGTGCTCTACTTTCCCACAACACCTTAAATAGGCTGGCAAATGTGCTTGAAGATGGTGACCACGTAGACTGCAAAGGTTAATTCACAGAACCTGAAAAATCTATTGCTGAATGTTTTACAGGTTAAGATTATAGGGGTATTTGTGTGGCTTTTAAGAGACAGTAGGGAAAGCTCTCCCCACGGGTGGCTGTTTCTGCTGAATAACAGGGTGCTGCCAGCACAAATACATGAATCTCTTCTTTCACATGTTCTCAGGCTAGGCTCTATTACTTTCAGAACTAAAGGACAGATCTGCATATCCAGGTTATCTCTGCAGACTGAACCAGCTGAGAGTGTGGGGAGATTTACTTGCTTTAATGTTCCTCCTTCCACCCCTTTTCAAAAACTCCTGAAGAGTTTTCTACCCATGCATATCAGTGCCAATTCAGGAGCACAGTCTCTTGCTGTCTGCTGCCATTCCTAGCAGTGGTGTCTCTCATTAGTATGCCTGGCCGTATTTGCTTCTTGATTAGGGAGTCCCTCCCTGTACTATTACTTAAAGGAGCTTTCCAGACGTGCCCTGAATGCGAAGAGAGCCACAGCCAGCATGCTGGCCTGCCTTCACAGCCTGAATGGTGAAAAGGTTGGGGGAGAGAGAGAGAGAGAGAGAGAGAGAGAGAGGTTTCCTGCCACTTCTGGCAAGAAGTGCAGAAGGGAGACTTTCAGGTCTCACTTTCTAATGACAAACTGTAGAAGCCTGTGGGATTCTGGTAGAAGCAGTTCATTCATGACTAGAGTTCAGTACATCTGTGTGTGCACATAGCCAGCATTTCTTTCTTATTCCTCTTGCACTTCTTTATGCACATTCGTTGGCAGGTTTACCCAGTGCCTATTATACCATATAGTGTATGTGTACTGCTTATTTACCTTGCAGTGCTCTAAAAGACAGCAACCACCAGCAACACGGGGTAGCCATGTATTTCCTGTGTAGGCCTGGATATGCACACATACATACACCAGAGTGCCTGATTTGTCTTTGAGCACTCTCCCATTTCAGCATTCAGCATGTACATATGCCTGTCCATCTGCTTCTCTGGATCTACTCAAAGAATACTGGCCAAGACTTTACGTAGCTGCCTTTAAGCGTGTGTGGACAAATGTGTAATCATTTTGGGGGACAATAAGACCATTGAGAATGCAAGATTCTCAAGATACAAGATAAACTGAAAACCTTTTCACATCAAGGTTACATCCCCATGCAGTGGGAGCAGAGGAGACTAGCTGGATGCTGAAGTTTGATGCTTACAAAGCCAACACAGCCTGAGCGGCTGAAAGTCTCAGTTGTCCTACATACCCTGCACCACTCCCTGCGTTCCCAAGAGAGCTCTCTGTCTTTCTCATCCAGTAAATAGTGGGCTAAGTTGTACATAGGTTGCTCTGAATTATTGCCTAAGGTCAGAGAATGAACCTGCTATTCAAAAAGAAAGCCATCCACATTTTTCTGCTTAACTTTGGAAGCCAAATCAGGTGGTGTGGTTGCTGGGATCCTGCAGTCTCCTTCAATCTATACTTTCCCTCAGCTTGAGGTAAGGATGGGAGAGTCCTTTGCTCTAGAATGTCCCTCCAAGTTATAGCTAGAAAGCATGACAAGCTTTGATGGCTTGGCCTTCGGTCGCCCTTAAGAACACAGTCCCCAAAGAAGGCCACTACTCTCTCCATTTAGGCAGGGCAGGGCAACTGTGGGAACACTCTTCACTGCTCTCTACCACTTCATGGCTTGAAGGAAGATTGGTGCTATTATGCTTGCTGAAGGGCTGCAACAGCAGCACCCTCCTCCTCACAACAGGGAAAGAAATGTTAATTCCCACTCAGATCCTCAATTATCCAAATCTTCAAAAGGCCGCTGTAGTTAATTCTTTTGTTCCGTATCCTTTTAGTGTGGACCATGGATGGCACTGAGTAGGCCTGAATCATTCTGGACTTTCTCTATTCCTGGTAGATAGGTAGTAGGAATTACAGGTACTTATTCTGACTTTTCTGTGGCTTGGGGTCAATTGGAATTAAAGGGAATATGTATTCTTGCAATTAACACTTTACCCTTTCATAATGAGGATATGCCCTTCAGCAATCAGACTTGTAAATTAAATCTTTGTTTACCTTCCAGTGAACAAACACACACACACAAAATCATGCTAATGCTTGATATATAGGTAAGGACAATCATAAGCTATGACAAACACGTTGCTTTCACACGGATGGAAATAATAGTCAAAGATATTTGAAAAATTGTTGAAAAATGTCAAGAAACATTGCTGAAAAACATGTCAAGAAACCCTGATAAGAAGAATCTTAGACTGACAAGAATCTTTGCAATTCGGGACTTAATTCTGTACAAAATTTGCACAATGTTGTAAAGGTCACATGAGGTTGTTTGGTACAGAAAACAGCATTTTCTGCAGAGAAAATAATAATTCTGCATAGAAATGTTTTCTGTACCAAACAACCTTGTACAAATTTTGCACAGAATAACTCCTGAATACCACATAGGCTTTGAAAACCATGTAGTTTCTTGCAGCAGAAAGAAAATTGCAAAAATGATTGATGGGGAAGAATTACTTCTTTCCCATCCTACATGAGAGAATACCTCTTCTAAATGCTGTTGGAAACATGACAGTGCCCAGCACTTAAAGATCTACAAAGGTAGATTGGAAAGAGAAACAGCAGAATTGAAATTCATCCATAAACTGCAGTCCCTCAGCAATGGATTGAACACGGGCAATGGCTTAATGGCTCATTAGACACAATTCAACACTATCTGACCCTATCCTCATGGGGGCATCCTACACTCATCTATTCTCCCCACCTACAAGCTGGTTTCCAAAGCCAAACTGGTCTTGCCACCTCAATTCCATACCCAACGGCTATGTCTTTGTCCACAAACAACCATGTTAAAACTGGACTTGCTATTTCATTTCCATATACAAAGGATTTTGAATTTGAATTGACATTCTCACACACCAAGGGCATATATATGTCTGTCCCTGGTTTTCACTCCATCAAAAGCATCTGAGGAAGTAGACTGAAGTCTATGAAAGCT